ACAGAAAACTACTATAAGCAGGAAACTACTGTAGACTTTTCCTGCATTGATATTTCAGTTAATATCAAGCTGTAATCTCTTTTATTTCTTTTTAGAAAAACACATAAAAGCAAAAACAATGCAAATGTTTGCAAATAACATTTCCAAGCATGGTTTTCTAATAAACAATAGAACACAGTCATCAAAGCTTTTATATCACAGAGCTGAAACATTAGACCAGAGCATCGTTCATTCATTTAGAACTAAAGCAGTTTCTGTTTTTTTCTCACATGTAGGAACATTTTCATCTTAGTTAATGCCGAGTTAATAACTGAACCTTGCAACTCAAACTTTGAAGACTTTTTTGCTGCATGAGCTAAATGAGCTGATAACCAGGCTATGATCCAGCTGAGTCACCAGACCTGAAGGATCAGCTGCCCCTTGGCTCAGTCTGAAAGCATCAGCATCATGCCTAAATAACATTATTATAATCTTAGATTATAAAAAAAAAAAACTTGAAGTATGAATAATTAATGGAGCCTAGGTGGAAGTTGGGCTGAAGAAACTGATTGCTCTCCTACATCCACCTGCGACACAGCCTATCAGCTTTGAACCACACCTCTACGAGAGCCAATTGGCATTCAACGTTCATCTTAAAAGGCCTTCGATATGCACCTGTCTGCTCCTGTGCGCAGGCGGCGAATGCTCTGTGATTTCATTGAGATGACACCGTTTCAACCCACCTCCAGCCCCTCCTCGACCTTTGTAGCTAAAGCTACATCAGAGTGTCATTCCTCCTGGACTCTTACTGCGTTCCCTGTCTCATCTCAACCGGTTTGGCAGAAGACCGCCATGTTGAGCCTGATTCCGCCAGAGGTTTCTTCCTAATTGTGAGTTTTTTCTCTCCACTGTCGCTTCATGCTTGCTCATCATGGACAGGTTCTTTCAACCTGTGTTATCCATCTGGACTTCGATCATCCAGGTCCCTGAGTAAAGCTCTAGTATCAGCTCATTTAGTCCACTGGATCTCCCCATAAGCATACCGTCTCACTAACCAGCAGTCTACAGACTGACCCACTTCATCTATCTCCACTCCACATCCAGTTTCAGGCCTGGAGGGGAAACAGCCCTGTTCTTTACCCCTGTTCATGCATATCTATCAGAATTAAGTGCTGTGTTTCCTGTCGAGGTCTGAGCACCAAAAGACAAAGTAATTGTATCAATGAATTTCTTCTAATTGTCTTTTCTCTTCATGTGAGTTTTTCAGATTGAAATGTATTTATTCTTTATTTGGGCTCCCTCCTATGAATGCTACATTTCCAGCTATCCATGGAAATTATTTTAAAATAAGTGTAACTGAAGAACTTTTACAGCTAATCTTTTTAGGTTTATAGGAATGAAAAGAAACGCAGGCCTTTTTTTAAAGCAACTCATCAGAAAGATGAGAAAACATTCCCTTTAAGTGAGGCAGATATCAGTTGACCTGAACAAACTCATTCACTGTGTTATATTAATTTACATCAAACACACCACTTTTTGTGTGATATCAAAAAAGATTTCTTTTAACCTCTGTGTTTAACTGCTTCCTAACATGTTTCACTTGCTGCTGCCCCTATAATTTCCCAATGTGGGACAATAAAAGATATATTTTTTCTATTCTAGATGGCATCATGAGGAGAGAACATTAGGTTGAAAACACGGCACTAAATTTAAATAATAGTGGCTAAAGGACAACAAAGTGTCAATCTCAATTCTCTGATCTCTCTGCACACCAGAGGTTCCCAAACCTTTTAGCTTCTGACCCACAAAAAGCTACAAGTCGCCCCAAATTCTTGGTTGAGAATCAAAGTATTTCTACAAAAATAAATTCAACATGGTGGAATGAAATTACAAAGAGGATCAGCAACAAAAGTAGCTGGTTTTGTCCATTTTATATGATTCTTTTATATCTTTGCACCCTTAAAACAACTATGGCACCATCTCCTGCAAAACTGGCTTACTGCAGCTCTCTAAAGAAAACAGAAATAAACCCATGCAATGCCTCACTGCAAAAAAATTAAATCTCAGAAAATATTTTTTTTTAATAGAAGTACATCTTTTCTTGAATTGAGGAGGTCAGTGAGACAATCTGCCAATGGAGTAATACAATTTACATTAACAATGAGAGAAAGCAATTGTATTGTCTTATTTCAAGTGAATAATATCTAATTTTCTTATTTAGTGAATAGAAATACTCATTCCATTTGCAAATAATCTGATTTACCTAATAAAATTAAGGCTAAATGAACTTAATTCAAGAATTTTTACTTCTTTCTGGATAGTTTTTGCCATGCTTGCTTATTCTAATCAATCATTATTTGAGCTTATCTAAGACCTATTTATAATGTAACAGAATCGAGTACGTTTTAGTCTATAATTAAAACCTTTTTTTTGCACTAATCCCACTTAAAAATAGTCAAATTTCCTGCCAAGCTTGGTTAAAAGCCAGATCTGCTATAAAATGTCTCATGCTTATAAATGAGAGCCTCACAGGCACCTGAAATGTTTTTATGATTTCCTTTAGTAACTTTGTGCAAAGCCGTCATTTTTCATGAGAGCCCCTTGGATAACAATGGAAATAAAAGTTCAGATTTAACAAATATAACCCCTCTTACAGAGTTTAAGTCACAAACTTTATTCATCTTAGTGTAAGTCATTTCTTTACAGTACATTCAGGAGAGAGACATTTTGTGGTATGAACAGCTCATTTCAGTCCTTTAGGGTTGAAAATCTTGGTGGCTTTATTGTTGGTATTGCATGTTCAACATACACAACTATAGAATCCTCCTCCTCGTCATCATCATCATCACCGGAGTGCATGTTTTACAAAGAATGGCCACAGGTTCACAACAACAGGAGGCTCTCTGCTGCACTGCTCTTTGAAGTGGGCGTCCATTGGCTGTGACCTCACACCCTGATCATGCCAAGTGGCTGAACTTGGGCTTAAACACTAAGGGGATTTTTTGTTTTTTTTTTGTGAAGATATGCTTGAAAATATGCAGAATAGCCAGAAATATTTTTTTCCAGACCTGCCAATTTGCTGATCAAGGAACAGTTTGCACAAAACTGATAATCAAGCTCAGAGCAAATTTTGAACTACACTGGTGCAGCCCAGTTATTCTAGGATAAATGATCTCTAAACGGCTTGGAAAGTTGTGTGCAAACGGATCCATAATCAGGAACGTTTGCTGATGCTTGGTCTTTAAAGAAAACAAACATAACACATTTGCATGTGTTTAAAATATCGACTTCTTTCAGTTGAGCAACTGCTCAAAAATCATCAGGTTTTATTTCCTGGTGAATCTCCAATTTGAACATTTACTAAAATCTGTGCAGGAAAACGGCATGTTGAACAAGGAGAGACGTCAACCATGGGGCCCTTCTCAAGCAGTGCAGGTTCAGAAAATCAACATATGAAGGAAAAAAAGAAAAACAGTAAAGCAACACTTAAATGGAAGTCATTAAATTAAAAGGGGGAGGTAAATGTAAACTGTCCCTCAGAGAGAGAGAGATAGAGAGAGAGGACACTGAGGTGTTCTGAGGTGTTTTTGGCATTTTTTTATAACAAAGCACCAAAAGCGGTGACTTTCTGAATCAGTGCCAAGTCCAACAACCTCGACAGAGCTCTGCAGAGGAGCTCACATGTCATCCTTCACACCTTAGTGACATCCTTCAGAGAGAAACCAAAGGTTTGTTCTTTTTGTGGTCATCATTTTCATGAAATCCACAAATGGATTTAAATGTAAGACATTTAGCCAACTAGACCACGAGTCTGATAGAGACTACAACCCTCATAATAGAGGAGAGTGGATTTTTTTTAGACCCCCTTTCATTGTGTAGTAGCTGGCTCAGAATTTGCCAGAAAAGTCTAGCTGTAAGCGAGCCTCGTGCAGAAACAAGCGCACCCTCGGAGCAGAATAAAACCAGGACGATATGCTGCTCGGGGACAGAGACGGTTCTGGACAAGGCTGCCGACTCCAGACAGGTGAGGCTCAGCACTAGGAGCAGCTTAGGGGCCCGAGTACATTTCAAGTGTCCATACAATAAAACATCAGAAAAATAATAATAATAATAAACAAAATGGCTACATTTATTTTCTTTATTCCTTAAAATCCTCATTACCTTTAAAGACAAAGAAATCAGCTTAACAACAATTCATAAAATATACAATTCTTAAAATAAGGAATGAGGAAGAGTGAGTAAAATAAGACAGAACCAAAATAAGTTAACTTTTCCCCGTATTGCAAACACTTTTTAGGGGACTGAGAAATAAATATTTAAAACTTGTGGCAGTTCTTCTCTTTCCTTTCAGATGAAAATGATTGGATGGAAATTTTAAGCTTAAAGACAACTATGGTTGGAGTGCAATTCTTAAAGCCAGTGAAGGTTTGGTTGGAGATTATTGACATCATACAACCCGTTCTTCTTCAGAACGCCTGACCCACCCAAGGAATGCCACATGTACAAGGAATATTAAGAAAAAAAATGTAAAAACAGTACAATAAATAAAATAAAACTGTGCTGCACAAGAACTGCATCCTTAAAGAACAGAGAGCTGCTTTTTGTTTTGTTTTCCATCACAAATCAATGCTGCTCCACGTCAGGGTGGGAACTAAGTAGGTGGCAATCACTTGGAACAGAAAGGAAAATATTGCAGATAAAATTTAGTTTAAAATGCACCATAAACACAAGTCGAATAGCAAAACAGGTGATACTTCTATCAATGAGCTCTATCTTTTTTTAAAGTCTTTTTTAAAATTTTATTTATTTAGCTATTTGTATGTACAAAAAAAAATAATAATAATTGCTTTAATTTATTTTTTTGTTTGTTTTTTGGGGACGGTCACACAGAAGGAGGAGAAAAAAAAAGAAAAAAGAACTGCGGGAGTTATTGCTTCTTACTGCTGGAAAAAGGACGGACGTCTGCTCCAAACTTTAAAGCCGTTTGGGTTTATTTTCCCTTGTTGCTGCTGCTTTTTTTTTGTGTGTTTTTATCTGGTCTAGGATTGTGCCTTATTATACTGACAGCTGCAAAGTAGGCAAGTGCTGGATGGCTTGTCGTAGCTGCTTATTGAGGAGTTAAGGAACCAAAACAACACATTCGCACAAAGTTACGATTTCCACTCGTAGAAACTGCACTAAGAACCAACATTCGGTAGGAATGCTCTTTTTTTTTTGCGGGTTTTCCTCTGTGATTGGTCGACACGCAGAGGACGCTCCGTATGGTACTGTATCTGCTCTGCTTCCCTGATAGCACCGATTTTGTTGATTTGAGCCTCCGTGGTGTCGAGCAGAGACAAACGATAAAACGGGGATGACGTTTAGCTCTGCAGGGCCATTTTTATTCTATTTTTTGTCTTTTAGGGCCAAGCAGCGTCAATATGGCAGAAATCCCCCCCCTCCGCCGTAAAACAAACCCTGGTTTAACGCCAGACTGTTTGGATGAATTAACTTCAGCTCAACACACACTCATATTAAGGAACTAAAAAAAAAAAAAAACAATTTAATAATTTCACTATTATAAAAATTTAAGTGCATTTTAAGTAAAATCAGGGGTTGTGCATCTTTTGAAAATCAACACTTCAATCAATTACACGTTTTTTTTTTTTTTGTCATGGGTTTAAAAATCCAGAAGACTTGTGTGTGTGAAGTCTCTGATCTCCCTTTATGTGACTTCAAAGCAGTTTTTCAGTGCCAGAGGAGACGGTGTCGAGAGGAGCACGTCTCACTGTAGCTCCTCCAGCAGGGGAAAGAGCGCACGCGGCGTAACGAAAAGGCTCGGAGCGTAGGTTGGTAGGGGGAGCGCCGTCACCGTAGGCGATGCCGTGGCCGGTTGGGTGAGCGGCTGGGTTTGGCAGGGCTGGTGGTTGCTGGCGGCGGAGGCTTTAGGAGGAGAAGGCGATTTTGACACTGCAGGAGGAGTAGCCCTCGTCGCTGGCCATGCTCTGGAGGCTGCTGTGGTCGTCCAGGTCGCTGGTGCTGGCTGTGCTCACGCCGTCGAGCTCTCCATGGGAGAACTCGGTGCTTTCTACGTCCACCTCGATCTCTTCTGCAGAAAAAGAGCAGAGAAGTTTAAAAAAAATATTCTAAGCTATGTCTGGGTGTTTATTCCTGCTGTTTGACGCAGTTAAAATAAAACCTAAAAACCATGTTCCACTATCATAACGTCTGCTAGACAGAAAACCAAAGTCATGACCTTGTAATTAGCTCTTAATGTAAGGATATCATTTATTTTCCAGTCATCAGATATTTGCCAGAAGGAAATGTTTTACCTAATAACATGATTAAGGATCAGTATTTAGCTCTTATACTTCATAGATTTCATGTTTTGGTTTCTTGAATTCTTGTTCGTTCTTCAAACAGCGGTTCTGTTTACAAAAATTAATGTGCTCAGGTATCAGGCACCACTGGAACCCTGTATGTTTTGGGTTATTAAGCATTAATATTGGACAAATGAATGTCCAGTATTACCCATTAATCATCTCCAGCACGTCTCTACAGGGACGTAGCTTTCCTGCATCACATATTGTTTTACATGACGGCTACAAGGCCGGTTTTGCTCCCATTCAATCGGAGGATTTTCTTCCCTGTGTCATTGTTGCAGTTTAACTTTAGCAAAGCTAAAAATAAAACACCTAAAAAAAAATTCCATGTTTTCAATAAGGGGAAAATGTGATGAAAAAAATTCTCGCGATAAAAATCAAACATTTACTTTCACATTTATACACGTCGTCACCTCAAGCATCACAACTTTCAATGTTACTTTTGCCCGACCCAATGCTGTGGGGAGTTGGACGCGTCCTCACCTTGGTCTGAGTCCGAGCGGTCGGAGCAGAGGGTGGAGCCAACGCTGTCCATGCGTATCCTCTCGCCCTCCCCTGGGCTGCTCTGGACTGCAGCAACACTTCCTCCTCTCAGCAGCTCCAGCTGACGCTGTAGGTGCCTCTGCTCGCGCTCCAGAGACTCCAGCTGGTACTGGCTTTTCCTGTCCGCCTCTTCAAGTTTCTGAAGATGACAAAGATGCAAGAAATAGTTAAAAGGTTTGGAAGTCACTTTAAACTTGGAAAATCTGCCAAGAGCTTGACCCACAGGGCATGCAGTTTGCCAGCCAATTCCATCAACAGAAAGGACAATAGGTTCAATATTTAGGTTCAATAATTATCTGAAATTATCAGACATTGATATGTAATAGTCATATATTTTTTTCTTTATATCATCATAAAAAACAATTTTAGATCTGTGCACAATGCAGATTTTTTTTACTTTTAAAAATCAAAAATTTAGTAGACTTTTGCAGCAGAACTTGCTGCACATTATAGCAGTGATTCTTTTTAAACCACAGTAGCTTTAAATCCTTTCCTGCAGGCCCAAACTAACATCACACCAAGCACAGCACATGTTGGGTTCAGCTTCTGCCAAGAATGTCATCAGCTTTTAGCTCTCCTTCCTCTCCATTCCACTTCCATTGACTTTGCTGCAGCTCTTCCAGCGTGCATCAAGCACTGCTGCCCCCACCCAGAGAGGCAGGGTGCAGGTCGGGACTAACAAAGATGGTTTGACACGTAACCTGTCTGCAGCTCAGCACCGACCTGCCCAACAAACAGCAGCTAACCCTGAGAGCTACCTAGGTGCTCACAGACAGTGGAGGCTGTGACACCTGTTCCTGAGCTCTCCTACCCCCATCAACCGTCTCTACAGTCTGTTATTGCAATGCTTTCATGTAATAGAAGATAACAGCTCCACTGCTTATAGGGCATCTGACTTTGAAGCAAACACACTTAGATCTACAATGGAGTTTTTGTTGCGATGTAGGGAAAAGCCAAGTATACTGCCCATCTGAACCAGTGAAACAGAAACTGCAACTCAAATATCACACCAAGCAACCAATATGACTGTATCCTACACAGACGTTGTCTTTGCATTGTTGAGGGTTCACTCTCCTCTGAATGCAGGATTCTGGAAACTCAAAGTAAACATATTTAACCATTAGGGGGGACTAACAGCACCATGACTTAATCTCTAGATGGTTAGTTGATGCTTACTCATTAATAAGAAAATAAGTAGAGATTGACTGGGATGTCTGGACCTTCAATTTTTAACCTTTGTTTTCTAAAGAAACCAACAATTGTTAAATATGATGAATAAAACAAAAATAATAAGACGCACTTTAGACATAACAGACCTGGATGCTTTGGAAAGCTGACTTCATTCTGTCATTTTAAGAGCCGTAATAAATTTTCAACATGACAGCAGGCATCACAAAATGGAAAGCCATGGAAAACCCAGAGTGGCTGATTCTATAAACCTTCATACATTTCATTTTTAACTCTTTTACTTTCCACGTTGTGTGGGATGACTAGATACATCTGAGACCTCGCTCCTTCCTGCTTTATCACAGTTTCAGTTGTTTTAAAATCTTTCCTCGTTGATATGACCAACTTTAGGCTAGTGGATATTCTCTTTTAACCATGAGCACTTTTTAAGGAGTTACGTAGATTTACATTTTTTAAACAGCATCTTCTCATGTCTTTTGAACTTTGAGATTTAGATATTTCTGTTTTGTGAAAAGGAGTGAGTATATGATTATACTTATTTTTTCTTCTTTCTATTCATAACTTCTGTTTCCTTTTTTTAAGAGTTGTTTTAAGAAAGCAAGAAAGAGATGAAGAAAGAAAAATATCAAAAGAAAGAGAGAGAAGGTTTGAAATAATAATACTATCTAAGTTGGTATTTTATTTAAAAAGTGAACTCAAAGAAGAGAGTTTGTTTTTGTAAACATTTTACGATTGAGACTATGCGGCTGCAACAAATGGATGATTTCACTTGAAGGACACTGGTTGGCAGCAAACTAAAAGATGACGAATCAGCAATTACCGCCATCAGAAAATTAGCAGTTAATGTGCACATCTAGAAAGACAAACCAGAGGGGAAACAGAGAAGAAAAACAGCGAAAGAGGAAAAGTAGCAGCCAAAACACAGACAGTGAGGTCAGGTGTTAACAGCTGGGGAAACGACTTTTTCCACAAAAGGAGATGTGAAGATGCGAAACTGCAAACTATAAGATAGCATACAAATATCTCCCAGCTACCAGTTACAGCATCCATCCATCCATCCTGGTTTTAATGCTGTGACGCTCTCACATGCAGCCCTATCCCCATTACGATACAAGCAGGGGCCACAGCCGTGCCTGACACAGCAGTGCTGTGCTCTAACCTAACATCCTGATGTCACAGTGGCCCACACTAACAAGCGTGACTCCTAGTGACAGAGCAAAACAAAAGGCCATCAATAAGCTATGCAGTTGACAGCAGCCGAGGTGCAGAGTGTTGACGCTGGAGAACAACAATATTGGCTTTATACTACTAACCCTCCCCAACCCCCCCACCCTGTGTCACGTGTTAGCACTCCCAGCCAACGTTTTCACATACAGACCACTTCATCTGAGGCAGACATGATGTTTTACCAGAGTACAACTTTATCCACATACTTTAAACAACTCTGTAGGGATTAAACCGCATAGTCATTAATCCAGCTTTTACAGACATGGACACCTTTCCAGCAAACTGATGATAAATGAGCCCCGGCCACCTTTCTGCATTACATTATGTGATAACAATCAGACCATGCCAGACTTCATAACGAACACGTATTAGCGATAACTCGAGAGAGAAGTCACATGGGCAGAAGAGACAAACCGCAGGCAAATGCTGGTGCCCTATTGTTATAGCAACAGCTGCAAAACTGCATATTCACCCTGTGGACATTTCCACATTCTTGTCAAATCACAACCACAATTTGTGGAAGTGTATACTTTGGTTAGATGAGAGCAAATCCCAACTTTCTGTTTATCTGCTAAATGCAAGGCTAACTTGTTCCTCACCATGAGCACACCGTCTGCATGGCGAAACATGGTGGGGTTCTGGAATGATGTTTTACTTCATCAGGGCTGAAGTAAAACATCATTGTGATCTGCTAGAATGAAAAGTTAAACCTTTATCATCCAAATGACCAGTTTTTTGTAACTTGGATATAAACACAGCTTTGCAAACAAGCAAAAATGGTGAGGACAAATGTGGTCTGCAGGGTCTGCAAGGTCCACCTCTGTTCTAAAGCTGTTTCATAGAAATTAAACAGTAATCCAGTTACTAATACTGTGTGTTATATGTTACCTACTGTTAATGAAATTAAAAACTTAGTAGGCTATTTTTAAATTTCATAAGCCATGTTAAAAAGTTAATAAGCAAAGGAAAATGTTAATAATCTAAGTTAAAAATTAGCCAGCTATGTTAAAAAGTTAATAAGTTAAGTTAAAAAGTTAATAAGCTAAGTTAAAAAGTAAATGACCCATGTTTAAAAGTTAATACACTAAGTTAAAAAATTAATAAGCCATGTTTAAAGTTAATAGGCTAAGTTAAAAAGTAAATGAGCAAAGTGAAAATGTTAATAATCTAAATTAAAAGTTAATAAGCTAAGTTAAAAAGTAAATGACCCATGTTTAAAAGTTAATAACTTAAATTAAAAAGTAAATAAGCCATGTTTAACATTAATAAGCCAAGTTAAAGGTAAATGAGCAAAGTGAAAATGTTAATAATCTAAATTAAAAGTTAGGAAGCTAAGTTAAAAAGTTAATAAGCTAAGTTAAAAAGTTAATAACCCATGTTTAAAGTTAATAATCTAAGTTAAAAACTTAATAAGCCATGTTAAAAAGTTAATAAGCTAAGTTAAAAAGTTAATAAGCCATGTTTAACGTTAATAGGCCAAGTTAAAAAGTAGGAAGCTAAGTTAAAAAGTTAATAAGCTAAGTGAAAAAGTTATTAACTTTTTCACTTAGCTTATTAAAGTTAAAAGTTAGGAAGCCATGTTTAAAGTTAATAAGCTTAGTTAAAAAGTAAATAAGCTAAGTTAAAAAGTAAATAAGCTAACTTAAAAAATTAATAAAAGTTAATACGCTTAGTTAATATGCTAAGTTAAAAAGTTAAATGTAATAAGCTTAGATATTACACTTAATTTAATGTTATTAAGTTAATAAGCTATATCAAAAAGTTATATCTTAATAAGACTTTTGACTTGAAATTTGGAATTGCGAAGTATTTCATTGAGGGCCCTATCAGGGGTTTGGGCTGAGGCACTGGTTTATTATCCTAAATAGACAGAGTTCCCCTGGGATGCTTTTGATCAGGGGAACCAAGGTTATTCCTCAGGGGCCACCATTCTCTTTCTTTAAGATGAATCCATGGTTCGATACAGCAGAATGCAGCGACATGGTGAGGAGGTAAACCAGCTGCGTTGGAGCAGAGTCACACCTATGATGATGACTGTCGGCCCTTGGTGACAGTAGTTGTCCAACAGTTGGAGGAAGGCAGCAGCAGACTTGTGTTGGTCAATTATATCAAAATGACTAACAGCTAAACTAATTTTTGTGGAGACCAAAGATAAACAAGTTGAAGGAAAAGGAATAAAGAGCAGTTCTCTTTTAAACTGTCTGTACCTTTATGTGTGCTTTGGCTTTATTGAGTAGGCCCAGGGTGGTGTGGCGGCTGCAGTCGGGTCCCAGAGGTATGAGGGCCTTCAACCTCTCCAAGCACAGCCGCAGGTGAGCTCGTCTACAAAGGAAAGAAACACAATGGTTTGATAAATATCCAAACAGAATATAAAAGGCTGAATTTACTAACTTTGTGAACGAAAATGAATCCTGGTAGTAAATAGTGGACGCTTAAAAGTTGCCCAGAGTTTTGGTTTTAACTTTCTAATTCAAAACTGGGATTGGCTTTCACTTGTATTTGCTTTCCCGACAACGGGTCTCATATAATTCACATCCAGCTTTCTTCTCAAGCCGATACTTCATCCTCGGCAGTTATTTCAGCTTAAGCTACACCACTCATCTACATTACAAACAAGGTACAGTGATGGTGGAGGTGGTGTAATGGCATTTCCTGGAGCCTGCTCAGCTCATGCGCTCCATCATTCTTGACAGTTTCGTATTCGGTGACTGGAGATGGACCCCAGGTACAATCTATCCCGCTAATGGACCCCGGTTGAGAGGTAAAGGGAGATAATTGAAGCTTTAACAAAATCAGAGCTCCATTAGGAGGGGCTGCCCTTTCAGCTTAGCCTGGGGGTAAAGGCTGGAGAGACATTAAGCATTTAGATTCAGATGTGATCTTAGTGGGAACCTAACGGAGACGGACCCAAAGGACCAGAGCAGGAATTCACTGCAGATGTTTGGGCTATACGGCTCTCTGCTACGCCCTGCCTCTTTAGGGCTGGTGACTGCGTGCGAGTGGCTGAATTATATCAGCCCGAGTACATGTGTGTGTGTGAGATGGTTAAGTTATGCGTGGATGGTGCTGATAAGCACATAAGGGCAGACTATTACTGCCATTACACCAGTACTGTATAGGTTATTATATGTGAACAACTGTAGCATGACTGCAGACCAAATAAGTCTACAGCTGTCTACTGCATGCACTGGGATCAGTCACAATACACACAGATACATATACTCACATGCACAGATATGCACACAAATAAGGTCTAAGTGATGCCTATCAGTCTGGCTCAGGTCAACCGGCTGTTCAATCAGCTCTATTCAAGCCACCTTTTCTTCTTCATCATGGACGCGTCTATCTGGGCTTTTCATCTCTTCATACACAGGCACCAACCGCCACCTTTCAACAACTACAAATACCGCTCTGTCTAACAGGGGGGCACAGACAAAATATGGCCCAAAAAAAGATGGGGTGGTTCTGTTACTGCAGAGAGGAACTACAATGGATTAGTCAGGAACTCAGAAAATAGGTGTTGTTCTAAATTAGGCCAACATGAGATAAAAAAAAAAAAAAGAATCAAACCTAATTTTATTGCATGTTAGTTGTTTACGGCTTGAGTCTTTTGCAGCCTTGAATATTTTTGTTCTAGCAGGATTCTACCGTCATTAGCTTCATCTTCCCATTAACTAAGACCAACTTCGCCTGTCCTAGTTGATCTAAAGCATCCCAGCTAAAAAGCGATCTATTTCCACAGGTTTGCGGTTTCACCTACTTTACTTGTGGCAAACTGAAACAGACTTTTTATGGCCTATTCAACTATGGCTTCTTCTAGGAAATCTTCCAAGCCTTATCTTGGTAGGTTTTCACCCTCTTCTCCAGTTTTGAAGAAGGATAGATCAGGGCTTCATTAGATATTAAAACCTTTAGGTAATGCTTATGAGCTTCCTGTGCAGAAGTTCTCCACAGCCTTGACAGCGGTGTTCCTTTGCAATGCTCTTTGTACACTGATGTTCTTGCAGCCTCTGACGCCTTCACATTACAGTTATAGAGAGATTAAATTATACACAGGTGGGTTCTTTATACCTTAGATACATTTTTGAGACAACTGGTTTCATTTAGAGGGATTAGAATAAAGTGAGCTGAATAAAAATGAAGAGCAAACTTCTCAGTGCATCATTTGTTTATCTATTTAAATCACATTTAAATACATTATAGTTTGGATCCCCAAATTGGGAAACAGCTGAAGAGTTATGAATGCTTTTGCACGGCACTGTGGGTTTTTATTTAAATTGCATGATGATTTGCTACTTTATTTTACGTCACAGTGTTGAGCCTTTCCTTCCCAGATGGCCATGTACGGCCTGATAGAGAGAGCTGTGAGGGAAGAGCAGGGCACTGCAGTCATGCGTGGGCCTGTTTGTCTGAGCGTCTGCCCTGTCGGGCATAAAAATCTACTAACTGCAGACACCGGAGACTCTCAGCAGAGATTAAAACCCAATGGCAGACGACCCTAGATAACCCCCCCAGTTTGCATGCGTTCCTGCTCTTCATCCAGCCTTCACCCTCACCCGGGAACATGACAAACAGTCGGGGGAGGCAGCCGAAGAACGCGCAGTGTCGACAATTTCTAGCCCAAATATCTCATTATGGCGCTTAGCACATAGACCGCAAATAGAGTGCCAGAGGTGTGACAAGTAACTTATTGAGCAGCTGATTCACCACAAACACCCTTCCACACCCAGCTGATGTTGAGATGGGCACATCACATCTCTTTTACCGCATGGGCTTTTTACTTACAGCCTCTCCAGGCGTTGTTATATCTTCTATTTAAAAAGAAGCATCTTATCAGTATTCGGATACCGTAACTCCCTCGTGTTGCTGGATACTGTAGCATGGCACTTTTTTTTTTTTTTTTTATCTCTGCGGTTATGACACAACCCAAGTGTGTGGCACTTAGATAATTACAGTTGCTCAAAGAAGCACAAAGAAGATGGGGAAAAAAGAGCAGAAAACCACAATAGGAGAAAAAAGGGAGGAGCATCTAATTGAAACTTAAGGCTATTCCGCAGAATAGTTTGGTAACTGAACTCCGGCATTAGTCTAAGCAGAAAAAGGACTCAGAAAGTATTCCGTTAAACACTCTCATCTAAATGTACCTGAAGAGATACCATTGACTGGTTAATGGTAGGGACTACAACTACCACCATCTCAAACCAGGCATTTAAAGTAGATTATATTTAAACAGATGTAACATGTAACATTCTTGCCCTGTTGGTTTAAAAGCCACAAAAGAATGCAATGTCTTTTTGTTAAACTGAGTCAGTCAAAGATAGACCCCTGCATCACTGGGTTTAATCTCTATGAGGTAAAAGTGTTTCTCTTAGAGGATGTGGGGTCATAAACTCGTGACTCCTGGTGATGACCCCTTATCACAGGATCAATACTGCTTAAAGTGCCTCTTCATCAAGTAGAATTGCTGCCAGAAACACAAAAAAAAGTTGTAAAAAGGAGCTGCTTGAGCAAGACTGAAAGCATGTGACCATAAATATGAGCGATGCGACAATCAATCAGCCAGAAATGAAAATAAGATCCTTTTCCCCTGATCAGCATGGACTGTAATTAGTGCATCGTTAAGTGAGCATTATTTTTTTTTTTTTTTTTCCTTGTACAGCCACCTAACCAGCAACAGAGCCTCATGTTTTCAGAGTTCTCAGAAGCCTGGGGCCGGTTACATAAACAGCTATGGGTTTACTGAGAAGCCCCACAACTCTGTGTCCTCCGCCGCTAAAGCTAAGGATCTGTTAAGTACATGAGGAAGATTTGGTGCCAGATCATCTGTCATGAGAGGTTAAACTGCCTTCCACAAGCAAATCTACTTTACGTTACACTTAGAAATCCAAAAGAGTAAAATCATAATTGCAAAATAAGAAATGATGCAGCCAATGATGGCGTGTAGAGTCCGGTATCTAATGAATGGCCCGGTGAGCTGCAGGTTGTCTGAATGAGCAACTCTCCATCTGTGACGGATTATGTAACACGCAGCACTGTTGATACCAAGACCTTTGCTCTAACCTGTCACGCGCAGCAGGGATATTAAACACTCACTTGCAGTAAGGCAACAACAGCAAAAACATTTTTTCTTGTGTTTAGCAAACAGAGATAGTGGGTTCGAAGAATAAATGGAAAGGGTTGGTTTTTCAGGTGCATTGGAGTTACGTGTCGGCAAACAGCCACCCCCACCATCCCACTGTCTCTTTGACAGAGCCATTTATGGGCAGATCGATCTATAATGTGAGTGGCTATTCAAAGAAAACCACATCTAAAGCTTCTGCAGATCTCCCACCAGTGCATGGGAGTTACCTGCAGCTCCCAAAGAGAATATTCACAGCAGAAATAAAACTGCCTTTCAGGAGCTTTTAATTCTGGTTTTACTCACTAAATAATCGGTCGTGGGAAAATTTATTTTGCTGACAAACGGAAATTAATTTAAAATAACATGACTTTAAAGGGTTTTTTCTTTTTTTTACAACTTAAAGAGATGTTTCTCTCCCTTTAAAGCAGATAAAGAACAGATTCACATTTTAGAACTGTTTTATAGTAAACCTGCATAATGTCTATCATTGTCTTTCATTCTGCTGTTTAACAGAAGTAACCATGCAGAGGTGAGTTGGGTTATTAATAAGGCTCCTAGCTCAGGTAGCATCCTGACGTAGGGTATGGTTCTATGATGCTTGATTGGAGCGAGACAACAGTAGTTTGAAGAGAGTGAGTTTTTTTTTTTTTTTTGGTGACAAGGTCCACTGTTTTTCCAGGCCATACTTTAATGGCAACTCACCCATTTTTGTGTTTCTTACAATTTATTCTTGTAGGTATCCGGGCCTCCTTTAACCTTGTTAACGTTTAACTCGCACAAAATATATATATATATATTTTTTGCAGACACCTTGTATAAACACAGCTACTATTTTAATCTTACTTTGCACTTGTGCTTAGAGCTGGCTTGTTTGGTCCTGCTTAACGCTGCCCTAAGTAGGTGATTTATTGCTATTGCAGTTGAATTTTAGCATTGGTTAAAACGTTACATGCTGGTACAAGCTTTGGTCACTGGTAAAGGCTTTGATGATCCCAGCCTTGTGATCTGGTATAAATACGACTGAGACATTGGCCTCTGTAGAGAATCCTCCTGTAATCCACCTCACTGGCAGCACCGGCTTCAAGCATCGCTAAATCAAGCAGCTCAAATGGAAAAGGCTCCGGTTTTGTGGAGCCCAAAAAGTAGAGAAGGACTGAGACAGCTGGACCTTCAATTTGTAACCTTTTTTCTTGACAGATAC